TTCTGGCTGCATAGTCAGTTCCTTGCCAGGCACTGGGTAACCTTGTAACTACAGCACCTCCCAAGTTCCGAGGCCCAGCAGGGCCAGGCAGGTGTATTTCAGGCAAACTTTCATCTCCAAGGAGTGTTTGCTGGCGGCTCTGGCCCTGCACTTGGACTTGTTACCGCCCAGGTATGTGTACAGCTGCTTTAGCTGTCTGAGCGTGGCCTAAGTGCAGGCCCCGACGCATGCAGCATGAGCTGGAGAGAGACGCTCCACATCTTTCCAGGGCCTGTAGGGTCAGTAGGGTGCCAGGAAGATCTTTGACGTTGGCACAGTGTCAGGGTGTGGTGGGAGCGGTGGGTGACAGATGTGTGGATGAACACCACACACTCCCTTTATAAACACGGAAGGGAACCTCGGCACAAGACGTTGGCATGAGGCCCTCAGAGGCACGAGGCGTGAGCTGCTGCCCAGGGGGGTGGTCAGCCTGGATTCTTGGCCTGCGTGTGATACAACTGTTCATCTCAAAACAGTGCTTGGTCTTCCACAAAGTGATCAAATGCATATACCTTTTCCTTAAAGACCCTCAGGCACCCAAAAAAAAAAAAACAGCATGGGGGGCGTTGGGCCAGATAGCTGGCTGTGCTGGGTTGTCTGTTGGGCTGCATGCACTGCGGAGGGGAGAAGGTGGGTACCAGTGGGAGTCACCTCTTCCTACAACACCAGCAACTGTTGGGCTGTTACCTACAGATGGCATGGAAATTTCTGTTGTATTCATTTTTTTTTTTTTGCTAACTTCTGTAGGCACCGGCCGGAGGACTTAGCATTGTGTCTCATGTACATCTTTTCAAGTGTTTTTTGCTATTTCTGGAATTGTCCTTGTTTTTCTCCTTAGCTCATAGGTCATAGACACAGACATATTATAGTATTTAAGGCACCTGCATCAAGCATCAGATGGCTTTGCATCCAGAAAAACATTGATAACTCAGTCTGAAGCACCCAGCATGTGTAACATGGCTCTATAAAGTATAATAAACGCATAATGTTAAGCTTTTGAATGCCTATGGTTCTTGTTTGTGGCTTAGTTTCATTATACATTCAAACTGAAGTTCCCACCTGATCTGAGAATTCCCAGGCTCCCGCAGCCAGATTCCAGAGGCTTCCCTGCCCAGAGCCCACATGCGCAGGGCTCTGTCCCTCCAGCAAGAAGTGCTCCCTCTTGGGAATTTTCTGCTTCCTGAGGGGCTTTCCAAATCAGGAAGTATACAGTCACCCCCTCTGCTTTCGAGAAAGTATGGCCAAGAGTGAGACCCTTGCAGCCGGGCTTGGGAACACCAGCACCAGCCCCAGCGCTCACACGCCAGAAGGAAAGCTGACAAGCTGGGATGGACTCCTGAAACTTGGTAAAAATAGACCAAGAATTGCTCAAGATTTGGCCAGAGACAGCATGTAGTACGTTTTTCTGCCCTGGAATCTAGTTTTCAGGGAAACGGCTTACCCTCCTCTAGTGCTTGTGACTTGTGCTCATGATAAATGTGGCGGCTGGCCCAATGGTGCTGAGGTGGCAAGGCCCTGACCTGCTGAGTGAGGTTCAGAGGAGGCCCAGCCCAGAGCAGCCGGAGTGAATGCCAGGGCGTCTCCAGGCTGTGGAGGGGGAGGACCCAGGGCCTGCTCTGTGTCCCCAGAGAAGCACCCCATACACCTGGCTACCACATTGTGCTGAGATCCTCACCGCCCAGGGCCTTACTAAGCCCAGTGAATCTCAGAGGAATTAGAGCATTGTCACAGTGAAGGGAAGACCAGACAGCTGAGGTTAAAGTCCAAGCCTCTTGGTTCCCATTGCTGGGACCCCTGCTTGCTTGCTGCTGCCTGCATGGCCTGACTTCCTCCAGTTGTTTCCAGAGAAGCCCTGGCCTACTTTCCTGCCTCCCCGAGGCTGCCCCTTCCTTGCTCCTTTCTGGTCTTTATTTCCAAAGCTTCCCTGACTGGAGTTGCCCTCAGTCATTCATTCCTGAGAGGAATAACACATCGGGTACCCAGATGAGACCTGAAAGATTTGGGTTAAGTGCTATGAGAGAAGTGACTGGGGCAGGGGCTCCGTGGGGCACGGGCCTGGCCCCAGGCTGCTGTGCCACATCTGGGCAGGGCCCACACTGCTAAGCTGCAACTGTTCCTGTACGCCCACTCCCTTCCCCGCCTTGCGCCTGCTCCCAGCTCTCCCCCCCCCACACACACACACCTCCACAGGCTGCCCCTGCATGCTCGACCTGGGAACTACAAGATCAGGAGTCCATCCCGGACACACCCTCAGCCTAGGTGGGGTAAGGCTCATCCCAGAGGCCTGTGAAGCCAATATAGGGGAGCATTGGGGTGTGCTGTCATGTATTAGGGTCACAGGTACTTTTTTTTTTTTAATTCAGGGTGCCTAGTATGCCTGACCACAAATTCACTCTAGCCCACTCTGGCCTTGAAATCCTCCTGCCTCAGATTTCCAAGTACTGGGAGTATAGGCATGCTACATTACTCCAAATTCAGTTTGAGCTTCTAATAGAAAAGAAGGGAAACCAGGTGCCAGTGGTTTGCTCCCATAATCCTAGCTACCCAGGAGGCTGAGATCTGGACTACAGTTTAAAGCCAGCCCTGGCAGGAAAGTCCCTGAGACTCTTCAATGAACAGAAAGCTGGAAGTGGAGCTGTGGCTCAAATGGTTAAGAGCACTAGCCTTGAGCAAAGAAGCTCAGGGACAGTACCCAGGCCCTGAGTTCAAGCTCTAGGACTAGCCTGTGTGTGTGTGTGCGTGTGTGCGTGCACGCGCGCACACACACACACACGCAGATGTAGAAACCGTCTAGAAACCTAGGACTGACTTTCTGGAAACTGTCTTTTCTGGGACAGGCTATTTGGCAATGTTTTTATGTGGTCAGCCTGGAGTAAGATAGGCCTATTAGCCTCAGAAAAAAGAAAAGCCGGAAGTGGCACTGTGGCTCAAGTAGTAGAGCGCTAGCCTTGAGCTGAAGAGCTCAGGGACAGCACCCAGGCCCAGAGTTCAGGCCCCACGACCGGACCCAAAAAAAGAAAAAGAAAAGAGGAAGACTCCTCTCTACCAGGGGAGAAGGCCCCCTGTGGACAAGAAGCAGGGACTAGAGCAAACATGTGAGTAAGCCAGGGGTTAGCACCCAAAGCCAGAAGAGCCAGTGTCCCTCAGAGTCGGAAACAACCCTACAGACACCTGGGCTGTAAACTCCTGTGTGCTCAGCCACACAATCTATAGGATTTTATTCCCTGGGAACTCATCCATTCCCCAGAATGACTTGTCAAGTGATAAGAGCAGAGGACAGCCAGGCTCTGTGGCTTATCCCTGTAATCATGGCTACTTAAAGCAGAAAAGTTCTCTAGCACCCCGTCCTCCCCCAGTAACAAGGCTGGGAGAGTAGCTCCCATGGTCAAGTGCCAGGCTAGGAGGTCTCAGCCCTGAGGACAGAACAGTGAGAAACGAGGCTGTGCTTGCCGAGGTGCGGGGATGGACGCACTGCCAGACCAGCTGGAGGCGACCTCGCCCAGAGCCTGGCTCAGGGGAGATTTCCTCTTCATTGCTCTCACCTGGAGTTGTGGCTCAGGTGGTAGAGTGCCTGCCTAGCATTCATGAGGCCCTGGGTTCAAATCACAGGACCCGGAGTGAGTAACAATGTTCGACAAGAATTGTACTCATTTCCTTACTTGTGTAATTGTAACCCCCTCTGTACATCACCTTTACAATAAAAAAATAAAATACACGAGACTATTTTTAAAAAATCACAGGACCACCAGTGTGGGTGGGAACTTCATACAGGACTCCACTGCGCGAGAAAAAAACGTAAACGCAAATTCACCAGGAGCACACCTCACTCTTCACCCCAGATTTGTGGGTATGTTTGGTGGTCAGAGTTTAGGGTGGAGGTTGGGGACTCTGCTTTATAGCATGCTGGTTTCTCTGGCGTTCTGAGTTCATTGTCATGGTCACACTACCGCTCGAGGGCTTCTGCCCCCAATTCCCTACCAGGACATATCCAAGGCCCCTCTTTTGCCTTCTCCACCCAGTGGGCTGCCAGCCACCACCCCCCCCACACACACAGGAGACAAGTCTGACTTAATGGGGGGCTAGTGGGGTTACTCTAGGGGGCCTGGTCATGCACTCTGTGCCCAGGAGGCTGAGGTGGACAGGTCCACGGAGACCTTCCTTTGTGTCCTTCCGGCCTCTAGTGCTCCCTCTGCACCCCCCACTCCAGCCCCTCGAGGCTGAGAATGCCCTGTGTGCCATTTAGTCCCCCCTCCCCGTGTCACCGTTCGCTTCCTGCGGCCTCACTGCATGGCAGGAGCTGTGCTCGGAGGGGAGGAAATCCGAGAAGTCGCTGTAAGTGAGCAGAGATACGGCGAGGGACGACTATCACGCTGCTACTTCGTGAGTTTTCACCTATGGCCGGGGCTCCCCGGAGTGTGACTCCCGCCAGAGGTGAGGGGCCACTGTGGCTTCACCCGTGTCCCGTCCCATCAGCCCATCCCGCAGACGAGGAGCCTGAGGCGCACACAGCGCCCCGACCTGCCCGGGCGCCGCCTGGGGCTCAGGCCAGCGCTGCGCGGGGCGCACACAGACCAGCCAGCCTCACGCTGAGAAACAACGCCGGCTTTATTTCCTTCGGGTTTCTCTCTGGCCAAGCTCCTGGGTGCACACAGCCGGCGGCCCGTCTGTGCGGGGCCCAGCCTGCCTCCTTGGGAGGCCTGCGCCCACAGAGACCACACCGGGCCCCCTCGGGGGGCTGCCGGGGCCCCTCTGGCTTTGCAGCCTGGAGAGCCCCCCACCCACCCACCCCCCCCGGCCCCCAGCGCCCACGAGGGGCCCCGGCCGGCCGGAGTCACTCGGGCCTCAGCTGACCTGTCCTCATTTTACACAAGGTGGCCTGAAGCCCAGGTGAGACTTCTCTCTCCAGCCAGGGACCAGGCCCCAGCGCTGAGAGGGGCAATCCAGGCCGAAGGCGTCGGGGACTGGCAGACTCGCCGGTGAGTGGTAAAGTGCTCGGACCAGGCCTGGCGCAGCTCCGACGGCCCTGCTGACTTCCGGCCCTGGTGACTGACGTCCTGCGCGGCCCGGGCGCGCGTCACAGGCCGGATGGCTGGGTCAGGGCCGGCCCGGGCTCGGGCTGGGCCTCCCCGCCGCGGGCGTAGCTGAGCACGGCCGTGACGGTGGCGAAGGTGGCGGCGTTGACGGGGAAGGCGCGCAGCAGCGTGGAGCCGAGCCCGCGCGTGAACACGCGCCAGCCCTCGGCCTCGTAGCTCTGGCGCGCGCAGTCGAGGAGGCCGCGGTAGCGCGGGGCGCCCCGCACCCCGTCGGCCTGCAGCCGCGACTTGACCACGTCCACGGGGTAGGTGGAGAGCCAGGAGGCCATGCCCGCCGTGCCGCCCGCCAGCAGCAGCTTGGGCACCAGCAGGGGGTCGGCGGGCTCGCAGCGCAGCGCGCGCGTCAGCACGTCGTAGGTGAGGAAGTAGACGCCGAAGCTGGGCGTCTCCCGCAGCAGCGTGGACGCCATGCCCCTGTTGATGCCCCGCAGCCCCTCCCGCCGGTAGATCTGCGCCAGGCAGTCCAGGGAGCCCTTGTAGGCGCGCGCCGGGCCGGCGGCCTGCAGCTGCAGCCGCGTCTTGGCGAGCTCCATGGGGCAGCAGATGACGCACTGGATGGCCCCCGCCGCCGCCCCCGCCACGAACTGGTGCAGCGGGGAGTCGTGGCCCAGCACCCGGAGCGTGTTGCCCTGCACCCCGAACACCAGCGCGTTGATGAAGGTCAGCCCCATGAGGGGCGAACCCAGGCCTTTGTACAAGCCCAGCACCTGCGGGAGACAGACAGCCATCAGGGGCCATCGGGGCGGCCAGGGGCCAGGCTGCCCAGCTCAGCGCCCCCAGATCCTCCAGGCAGGCTTGGGGCAGCCCAGCCCCACCCCGGGTTCACGAGGACCGAGCGAGCTCTCCTTCATCCTTCATCTTTTTTGTTTTGTCAGTTGTGGGGCTTGAACTCTGGGCCTGGCCGCTGTCCCTCAGCTCTTCAGCTCAAGGCTAGCGCTCTACCGCTTGAGCCACAGCGCCATTTCCGGTTTTCTAGTGGTTTATTGGAGATAAGAGTCTCATGGACTTTCCTGCCTGGGCTGGCTTCCAACTGTGATCCTCAGATCTCAGCCTCCTGAGTAGCTGGGATTACAGGCGTGAGCCAAGCAGATTAGATACAATGAAGTCCTCTATCTGAGAAGCCCAGGCATCCCTCACCCTTCCAAAGCCCGGATTCCTGTCAGATGCCCCAGGACCTTCTTGTCCTGTATTGGGGTTGGCTGGCGGAGTCCCATTCGCCCCAGGCCACTCACACTCTCCTGCTTGATGATGGTCTGGAAGCAGTGCAGGGTCCCTCTGTACTGGGGCTGCTCCGCGCTCTGCACCTGCAGCCGCACCTGTAAGGGCAGGCCCCGTGAGCTGTGGCCAGCAGGACCACACTTCCCTGGCCTGGCACACACTGCCCAGGGGCAACTGAGGAGGCCTGGGGCGGGGGCGTGGCTTTGGGGAAGGCGGGGCCAAGCCGGGTGTTAGTGGGCAAAATGATCTCAAGACCGATGGAGGTGAAGCCTTTGTTACCCACCACGCATCTCTTGTAGCCAACCTGTCCTTCAGGTGACACTTATCCCACTGAGTGGCCAAAGTCCCAAACCATGGCTGAAGCTACCGGGGCCTGGTGTCTCCCCCCGCACTGACCTTCCTCATCAAGAATGCCTTGCTTCCTGAGTTCCTGGTGAGGACCCAGGCCAGGCCCAAAGCCTTGCACGGTCAGTCAAAGTGCTCGCTGTTGAGGAGAGCTTATCTCTGCTTTGCTACCCGGGGCTGGACACGATGCCCGGCGGGCGGGAGGTTTCCTGAGCGCAGGCTCGGTGTCACTGGTGGGAATCTAGGTCAGATCATTCTGGGGCTCTGGTTCCACGCTGGCTCTGAAATGAGCATTGTGGCAGCCAGGCAGGGCCTGGGGCAAGCACCTCTGTACCCATGTGCATGGGCCCCAGACAGGGCCTGGCACCCCTCCTCCCGGCCCAGGTGGGAAAGCGGAGGCTCAGAGGTGCTGTGTGACATGGCCCGTGCCGTCCTCTCCTAGGACAGGGCGGCTGTGGTGGAGGTGAGGGCTAGGTGAAGTACTAACAGGTGAGTGCCCCGCTGGCAATAGCTTGAACTCAAGGTGTGGACACGATCCTCAGCTTTTCCACTCAAGGTTAGCGCTCTACCACTTGAGCCCCAGCTCTACTTCCAGCCATTTGGTGGTTCATTGGAGATAAGAGCCTCACAGACTTTTCTGCCCAGTTGGCTTCCAACCGCTACTCAGCCTCCTGAGTAGCTAGGATTACAGGCGTGAGCCACTGCACCTAGCTCCTTTTGCAATTCTTAACACCAGAATGGGTGGAGCTCCTATTTGGGGAAAGTATTGGGGGGGAATTCCATCTCTTCCCACAGGGACCTGGGGGTGACCTCCCCCTCCAGCCCCTTGCCCACCCTGGCCACCCAGCTCTGTCCAGACTTGATGGGGAGGGAAGGATTTCCAGAGGAGAAAAGCAAAACCCCTCAGCTTTAGTGAGATGCTATGATGTGAGGTTTCTTTCAGTGTCCTGAGGCCTCTGGTGAGACCCTGAGCCTCCACCCCTGGCCTGACACTCATTGGGCTGCTGCAAGGTGGTGCTGTCTCTCCTGTCAGGTTCCGGTGGCACCTGGCCGCTGTGTGGAAGTCCCTGCAGGTCATGGCCGAGGGCCAAGGTCAAGCCAGCATGGACATGAGGCTTGGGCTGAGCTCTGCAGGACTCCTTCCAGCCCCTGCTCTGTCTGTGGGAGCCCTCACATCACAGATCTTGGGGTAACAGTTCTGTATCACCTAGCACCGAGGCTCTCGACATTTGGGGGTTACCGAGGCTCCTCTAGGGAATGGATAAACTTCCCTCCTCCCTCCAAGTAGTTATTTGCACACAAAGCAAGAGACACCCACACAAGGACCCTCCCTCCCCAAGCTCCACAGGGGCCAGTGTTTCTCCACCAGCCCTGCCCGAGCCCCCAGCCCAGGACCTGTGAGGCCCGGTTGGCCTCGTGCCCTCCCTGGAACTCTGGAGGTGGGGTGCGGGCGAGGACCAGGCGGAGGGCACCTGGTCTGTACTCACTAGCGCTCCCAGGTGAGGCTTCCGGGCATCTGCAACAAAGTTGCACTTTGCTACTGACGGTAGCGCCTAGCTCAGACAGCAAAGCGTTAAAGAACACACAAATGTCAACATCACATGCAGGTGCCCAGCCCAGTGGTCGGCCCCCCACCCTGGGCACCCTGGGACGTGGGCCACCGTGTCACGTCCAGTGAAAAGATCAGGAAGAACACCTCCCTAAACCAATGGATGGGAATGGGGCGGGGCCCTGAAACAGCTGTAAGTCTGGGCTTCTGGGAGGAAAACCAGATTTGGTATTCTTCAGGGGTTTGGAAGGGGATGCCCGCCAGGGCCCCCAACCACAGGAAAGCCTGTGGGGGCGGGCGACACCCACGTGGAGGAGGCCCGGGTGCCAGCGGCGTTCTAACAGGAGGACTCACTGTCAGGAGTCAGGACCGGGGAGGAGTGTGGTGTATTCTTGTTGTGCTTCCTGCAAGGTGGGGTGGGGGTCACAAACGTGTAACAGGTGACACGTGCACACCAGATGTGTATTCTTGTTTTGTTTAATTGCTTTTTTTGTGTGTGGTACTGGAGTTTTGAACTCCAGGCCTTGTGCTTACTAGGTGAGTACTCTAGTATTCATATCACCAGTCTTTTTGTGTTTTTGCGGGGGTTGTTGTCGGTCCTGGGGCTTGAGCTCTAGGCCTGGGCTGTGTCCCTTCAGCTCTGCAGCTCAAGGCAAGCACTCTACCACTGGAGCCACAGTGCCACTTCTGGTTTTCTGCTGGTTGATTGGAGATAAGAGTCTCACATACTTTCTTGTCTGGGCTGGCTTTGAACCATGATTCTTGGATCTCAGCCTCCTGAGTAGCTAGGATTACAGGCCTGAGCCACCAGTGCCTGGCTTACATCTTTTTGTTTTACACAGGGTCTAGCCCCTTTGACTGGGGCTAGCCTCAACCCTACCTACACCTTCCACATAGCTGGTATTGTAACTGATTTTTCTGGTTTGTTTTTGGACATGAGGGAATGACTGCAGAGTGCAGACTGACTGAGCTCTTGATGCTCCTACATCTGCTCTGAGTTTTGGGGTTGCAGGCACATTCCAGGCCTGGCTTAGGATGTGTGCACTCGCTGTATGTGTTAAACATCAACTTAAATAAAACAAGGCTGTGGCATGCCTCAGAGGTAGAAAGTTTGCCTAGCATGCACAAGGCTCTGGGTTTGATCTTTAGCACCACAGTAAAACAAACAAACAAACAATATCACCCATTCAGATAGGGAAAAACCTGAACATCATTGTAAAACCACACACACACACACACACACACACACACACACACACACACACCTACACCTGCAGAATATGAATACCCCTCTCCTATCCAAAGCAAGGAGTGTGTAAAGCTTAGTGCCCTGCTGTGTGTCACTCACAAGGGAGAGGCTACACAGAGGTTGACTTTTTAGTTTGTGCATCTCAGGGATGGCTCTTCTCTTAGAACCTGTATAATTTTTGTAAGAGAAAGCCAATAAAGAAATGTGTGTGTGCCTGATGATCACAATCCATTCAGAAGATATTACACTCAAGTTTGGGGCACACTCCTGTAATCCCAGCACTCAGGAGGCACAGGTGTCAGATTCTTGAGTTCAAGGCCAACCTGGGCTACGTATCAAGTTTAATCACTCAAAACAAAACAAAACAGTGGTGTCTCATGGTCTCAGGGCCTGAAGCCCATGTAGTGCTCTCAGGGAGGGGAGGGAAGGAGAAGCTGCATTTCACAATTCTCTTAATGAACATGCTTAAAGATAAGGTCTTTGACAGAAAGCAGTAAAAACAGCTGGGCGCTGGTGACGCTGCATTGCATTGCAGTCTGAGGGATCCAACATCACACTGGGGACAGCAGGTAGGAACACAAGAGCCAGGGGTCTCCCCTCTTCAAAAAGACCTTAGCTTCTTAAGGTAGGTTTGCCCAAATACAATGCTCTGGTGGTGAAAAGGGGGGGGGAAACATTAAAGCATTTTCCCAAAGACTGTCAGACACTTGAATAACTGTAGCGTGCAGCCACGGGCATTTGCAATCCTGTGGGTGCCAGATGGGGAACCCAGAGGCCTGACCAGGTCCTGCCCAGTCAGCTCAGGGAGCCAGCCTCTGCAGAGCTGGGCAGAGGGAGGGAGTTCTGGGCTCTTGCCTGGACACACCAGCAAGGCCCTGGACATAGATGACCATGACATAGAAACAGTGTGGTAAGGGTGCTGCCAGGCTGCCCTGTGCTGGGGGGTGAGTGGGGGTGTGGCCAGGCAGAGCATGGGTGTGCCGGGGGGCGTAGCCAGGCAGAGCATGGGTGTGACCAGTTGGCTCCTTGGCCAGCACTGCCAGGGCCTGCCTTTTGCAGGCCCAAAGCTTATCAAGAAAGCCTGGCCTTCAGCCTTCTTTCTCCCCAGGCCTGCCTGCTGTGAGTGGTGGAGATGTGTGCATTCCAGAGCTCATATGAATTGATCACACGTTATCCTAGGCCTTGGTAATCTCCCCCAGCCCCTCCCTTTGAGATGAGAACGCTGGGGCCAAGCCACAGTATCTGGTCCCAGCAAGGTCAGGCAGTAAAACTGGCCGGCAGAGCAGGTCTGGACTAGGAACAGAATTTTTTAAGGTCAAAGCCGGTGCATAAGGCCTGGCTCTCACGCCCCTGCTGGAAGAAATCCCAGCCCTAAATTAACAAGCGATTTTCTTTGCCAACAAACACCTGGTCCACTGGAGGGTTGGAGGAAAGGAGAGAGGAAGTTCACCTCAACCCAGCTGGGGATGACGTGTCTCCCTCTAGCAGTCTTCACCCAAGTGGGCAAGGGAGCCAAGTTCAAGGTTTATAGCCAGTACGGAAGGCCTGGCCTATAGCCCATGCTGGTCCTAGGAACATGGCAAAGAATGGTTGTGACGTGCACACTCTGAGCATGTCAGGCCCAGCCACAGGAGAAAAGTAGCGTGGGACTTCCCAGCGGAGGACTAGGGTCTCCGCACTCTCTGCTCTGGGTGTCTGAGAACCTGGAACTCTGGTTAATAGACAGATGAAATGACAAACTGACTGAGCATTGATCTCAAGCCCCTGTGACAGAGCTGTTCTTAGGTCCCCGGCTACAGACACTTCCAAACAGTCACCATCTCCTAATCCTGAGTTACTGCTCTAGGAAGATCATGCTAGAAAAAGTGGACTTGTTAGTGTGTGGGTGTGGGTGGGTGTGGGTGTGGGTGTGTGCTGATATTGGGCCCTGAACTCAAGTCCTCATTCTCTCCAAGGCTGGTGCTCTACCACTTGAGTCACACCTTCATTTTCAGCTTTTTTGTGATTAACTGGGGGAGAAGAGTCTTGGACTTTTCTGCTGTGGCTGGCTTCAAACAGTAATCCTCACATTTCAGCCTCCTGAGTTGCTAGGATTACAGACATGCCTGGCTTTTGTTGTTGTTTGCTTGTTTGTTGGATTTTGAGATGTAACCCTGACTGGCCTCCAACATTTAATCCTCTTGGATGCTGGGACTGTAGGCATGTACCATCACACTGGCCCGTCAAGTTTGCTTTTTTCCCCTACCTCCCGACCCCCAAGTCTTTCTTTCTTTCTGTAGCAGAACAGCGTGAGTGAGCATGTCAGTCTTCACAGGCCAATCCTGAGAATGAACTTGGCTGTGAACTCAACATCTAGTTTTGCCCCAGCCAGGAGCTATAAAAACAAGCCCAGCAGGAAGGTCAACGGAGTTAAATGGAAAAGCAGCTGCCCACCTGGGCATCTTGGAGAGCTCTCATTCTACCCTCAAAGACCTGGGGATGACCTTGAACCTGGCTCTGGAATAAGAGCCCTGCAGGTCTGCCGCCCATCTGTGTCTGAGAAAGAAAACATGGAGGAAACTCACCTTGACAGTGTCAAATGGGTGTCCCACAAGCACACCTGCCACACCTGCAGGGAGACAAAGAGAGGTGTGATCTGAAAGACGCCTTGGAGCCCTGCAGGGTGCTGGGGCTCCTGCCAGGGAGGCTGGGAGGGAGACACTGACCAGGGGCCAGCGGGGTCCTGGCCACGTCCCTCCCAGGAACTCCTGTAACACTCCATCTGGTAACCACGCTGGGTCCCTTCTCTGGCCCTGCAGGCAGCTGCAGGGGATGGGGCATTTCTGGCATGTTCCATTTCTTTAAACACCCCTGGTGGGGTGTGTGTGGGAAGCGGGTGAGCCTGATACTGAGATTGGAATGTCCCCTCTACTTATCCCCAACTCCGTTGCCTGTGATGGGGGTGAGGACGTGCCTCCCCTGGGCGGCCGTGGAGATGAGATGAAGTCCAGCCTCCTGATGGCTGCCTTCCCTGGCAGGGCCTCCCCGGCCCCTGGGAGGCAGCCTGGGGCTTCGCAATCGGTCTGGTTACTCATCAGCTCAGAGCCTGCCAGAGATCCAGACCCCCTTGGAGACAAAGGTTCATCCCTCCCAAACACTTCTCATTCCGTTCCCCTGTGTCTTACAGATAGTAAACCCCGAGCCTCTGGGTTTTGTGTTTTTGAGCTGGGGTCTCCCTTTGTAGCCCTGACCGGCCCTTTCATGGAAGGAGAAACTGAGGCTCATGGAGGTCAAGTCACTGGTGCTCCCTCCAAGGTGATCCCACTCAGAGCTTCACGTGTGACTCTATTAAAGGTCTCCCTTGGGGCTGGGGATGTGGCTCATCCTGGTGGAATGCCTGCCCAGCACGCAGGATCCTGAACATTGAAGAACAACAACTCCCCCAAAACCCCACCTATTCTCTTATTGCTTGTGCTTATTTACAATGAAAATGGCTAACATTTGAATGCAACCAGTCATATTGCAATCTGATGGTTACTTCTTAGTTTTGAACATACCCTGTTCCTCCCACTTACATTCCTGATAAAGGATTATTAGCTCACTTTACCCATGGGGAAATGGAGACAGAGAATGATTACAGGAAGTGAGGGCTGAAGCTGCAGTCTGAGCCTGGCACCTCTGCCCTGGGCCCCCCTAGACACATCTCTCTGTGGATTAGTTGGGTCCTCAGGATAATGGGGGCACCATGCATCTGTACCACAGAATGAATGTTTCCACCCCTAACACAGACTTTGGCATTGCCTTTTTTGTTTTTGTTTGTTTGCCGGTCCTGAGGCTTGAACTTGGGGCCTGGGCTCTGTCCCTGGGTCTCTCTGTGCTCAAGGCTATTACTCTACCACTTTGAGCCATAGTACCACTTCTGGCTTTTTCTGTGTATGTGGTGCTGAGGAATCAAACCCAGGGCTTCATGCATGCAAGGCAGGCACTCTGCCACTGAGCCACCTTCCCAGCCCCTTGGCATTGCCTTTGTGGCCCTGCTTTCCTGTCACACGTGCCTCAGAGAGTTCTGGCCAACTTTTTTTTTTTTTTGAGGGGAGTACTGGGATTTTAGAGCCATACCCCCAGCCCTTTCATTTTTAGGTTCTCGGAGTCTTATGCTTTTGCCTGAGCTAGCCCTGGACCTCAGTCCCCCGGCCTCCACCTCCCAAGGAGCTGGATCATAGGTTTGTACCCCCATGCCCAGCCTGAGTTTTGTCCAATTCTCTTAATTTTGAACTCAGAGCCTGAGCACTGTCCCTCAGTTTCTATGCCCAAGGCTAACGCCTCATTCTAGCAAGCCTCTTCCCCTCCTGGTGTCCATCTGGGTTTCTGGTCCTTTCCCAAGGAAACTTTGCTGCTTCCCTTTGATCCTCCCTGGTTCTCCCTCACATCTTGAATCTTCCAGGTTTCTGTGGGGTGAAGGGGGTTGAACCCAGGACTGGACACTGTAACTCTTTACCTCTGAGTTAGAACCCAGCCCATTTTCTGCATTTCCCGACTTAGCAAATCCTCGTTTCAGCACCTCTTTTCTTGGGTTGTATTTGGAATTCCTTGGGGTTTGGAAAGCCAGTAACCAGGCCTCCTGCCCGACTACGGGCTTCCCATCCTATGAGTAGCAGTCACCTTTGGGCCCTGCTTTGTCCAAGTGTCACCTTTGGGACCGGGGGATGTGACGAAGGAGAGAGAAAGCTCCCTACCCAAGCCCCAGTCCACACACGGATTCCAGGTGCCAGCCTTGGCAGTCCCACTTTCTCCCTCACCTGTTTCCTTGGGTGGAGACAAGGAAGGGAGGAGGGGTAGGCCCTTACCCAGAATCCTCCTGTCACGGGAACAGAGCGGGCGAGGGTCCTGCCCTCATCTAGCCTCTGCTCCCGCAGAGCCTTTACCCTCCCAGACCCTCTGAGAACCAGGAAGCCCTACCTCACTGTCTCCCAAGAGGAGTCTGAGACCTACAGAAGTCTCTGCCCACTGAAGGGCAGTCCTCACTCCACAACCTTCCCAGGAAAGGAAAGGAGCTTTGCTCTGGAGGCTCCTAGCAGCACAGGTGGTCACAGGCAGTGGCATCAGGATGACAGACCTGCCATCCTGTTACCGGACGGACGGACGGACGTCTCATTCAAGATCATTCCAGATTCTTGGTGTTTCAAACAAATAGTTGAGTGGAAATGCTGGGCACTGTTGGGCTCATGTTTATAATCCTAGCTATTCAGGAAGTAGGCTGCGATCCAGAAGATCTAGGTTCAGAGCCAGACTGAGCAGAAAAGCTTTTGAGGCTCCATCTCCAACATAACTAGTACAAAGCGGTGCTGGAGGTATAGTTGGAGTGGCAGAGCGCCAGCTGAGCCAGCAAGCCAAACCGGTGTGAGGCCCTGAGTTCAAACCCTGTTACTGGCTCCCCACCGAAAAGGTGAGCAGAAGCACCTGAATTATGAGGGAAGCAAGCAGCTTTATTAAAGCAAGAGCAAAGTAAAAATACACCCAGTAGTGTGTGAGTGGGCCTTAATCAAGAGAGCTCCAGAATGCCCTGAGAAATGGTGTCTGGGAAGATTCAGGCTGATTTGGGTTGAGGGTCCCTTGATAATAGACAGTTGTATCAGCTTGTGATGCATGCCCATTCCTACACTGTATTCTGTTATAATGATATTAATGGGATGCACTGTATAAACAGGAAGCTTTAACGAGAGGTTTTCCTGAAAAGAGGGCAGCCATGCACATCACTGCCTGCTTGCCACCTGAGAAGGTTCGCCTCTGGGGAGATCTTATCCTTTATCAAGATGCTGTGATGCAAACTTCGCGCCTGCAGATGGCTGGAGCCAGCCCAGAGTTGGGTCTTGAGCAACAGGGGTGGATCCCAGGTTTGACCTCAGCAAATAGGTCCTCTGGCTCCCACTATCAGCACACCCTACTATCCTGCATCTCTACTATCCTGCATCCTTTGGAGGCAGATGCCGTTCTGTGAGGGAATGCTTCCTCAGCTCTTTTCCTATCCATACCCCATCCAGAGCCCGGGGTCTACTGTGGCTTCAAGATTTGACACTATTTTCCCCAGAGTGGGCCACAGGGCGGAAGCCACCCTTCCCTCAGGCAAGACCCCTGGCAGCTGACAACCTTCTTCTAATCACAGCGCCTGGCCTGCTTCACAGACAGGTAAACACGGGACACACACCAGGCCAGTCAGCCATGGGACATCCCTGGGTCAATCTCTTCCTGAGGAATATGAATCAGGAGCCACAGAGGAGAAATGCTACCAGCAGCCACCAGAAGGGTCCAGGTCGTGGCCTCTGGGGGTCAGATCCCTGCAAAGTATATGTGTCACCTGGCCCTGGACAGTCCCTCTGAACAGGGCTACCTGAGTGGTCACTGCAGTCTTCGGACTTTTCTCCCCATTGGATCCCAGAGTGACTTCCACCCTCATTCACCCAGGTGCGGAGGCCCTGCCCTGCACAGCCTCAGTGTGTAGGCGATACACAGACGAGCACCTGAGGGCCATCCTGGTCTCATTCTCCACCCTGGAGCCTGAGGCAGGCATGTAACCTGCCCCAGGTAGGCACTGTGAGGATGAACCAAAGGGCATTCCAGGTAGGGGGGAGGGGCTGCCCAACCACTGAACACCTGCGTGGGGTCTGGTCTGGGTCTCTGAGAGGCCTGGCCTGGGTGAGTGTGCTCCCTCACTCACACTGACAGTGGAATTATAGAAGGGTCCGGCCCTGGGGAAAGAAGCCGCATACCCCAGGGGATTCCCCAGGAGGCCTGGTCCACTGGACAGTCCCCACCCTGCACCCTGCTTCCAGCACATAGGCCGAGAAGGGTTAGGAGCCCAGCTTGGGTGGGACAGGGGCTAGAGGGAACTGCAGAGGCCACACCATATCCTGTGTCCTCCGGGTTGCCCGAGGCTTGGGAAAAAGCCCCCACCAACTTACAGAAAGCTCTGAGTTTCCCTCCTGAACCTCCCAGAGTCCTGACCAGGTAGCAGACTGGGGAGTTCTTAACTGCCTTTGAGAGCCTTAAGCCAGCCAGTCATGGTGGCCAACTAGCCTCCAGACACAGGAGGAAGCCAGCACTGATTACCTGCCTAGAGTCATGGCCCGTGTGCCTCGCTCTTCCAGTAGAACCGCTCCCTGGGCAGCCACTGAGGTCTGTGCCAGTCCTGAGGCTTGAACGCAGAGCCTGGGGCGCTGCCCCTTGGCTCTTTTGCTCAAGTCTGGCACTTGTCAACCTGAGCCCCAGCTCCCCTTCCTGAGGTCTGTGGGAGTCACACACAAGCAGATGAAGAGCAGGGCAAGGGTGGTGGATGGAGCAGAGAACCAAGACTGGGCCCTTGAGATAACCAGCCAGCCTCACACTGCCAGGGAGGCGGAGGCCGGCCCTCAGCCCTCCTGACACCTCAGCACCCCCCCCCCCCCCCGCCCCACGGCTCCATCAACACCTGTTCAACACCCTGATCCCAGCAAGGTAAACGCAGAGACAGCGAGGGCCCAGGGGGCGGCATCCACGGCGGGGTCAGGCCCACGCAGGTCACTGACAGGAGGACCCCGCGCCCCCTGGGTTTGCCCACATCCATCCTCACGCCCTGCCACAGCAGGTCAGCGGAGGGAGCGGGGAAGCAAGCGGGTGAGGTGCCACGGCGTGACCCGGGCAGGGGTGAGCAGACGGCCGGCTACAAGTGGCCGCGTGGCGCCCGCCCCGCCCGGACAGCCGCGGGGAATGAAGTCAGCCCCCCACGGCTCCCCGGCCCCCCACGATCCCGAGCTCCGATGGGTGTCGGGGGCACGGGCGGGCGGGGAGGGTTGTCAGCCCAGGACTCCGAGGCGCAGTGCTCCGGATGGGAGCCCGGGCTGGGGATCGGCGCGCCGGGCGGGAGCTG